CTTAAACAGATTTTAATTAACCACTCTTTTTTAATTCTAGTGCCTCGACTTTTCTAGCTAAAGATGCAAACTTGGCTTCGAGGTCATGCTTTTCTCTAAGTTGTATATACCTCCACTAGATGTATGAGGTTGAGTTTTACCCGATACCTTATAAGTACATGTGGTGTCCTAATTTTGAGCATTTTTAGCTAATAAGTCTAAGTACTCCATTACTTAATCAGGGGCTTTATCTTCAAAAGTTTCATTGCACATCAATACAACAATATGCCTATCTCTAGGTGTTAACCCTTCATAAAAATATGAAACCAATTTCCATATTTCAAAACCATGATGAGGGCAAGTATTAAACAAGTCTTGATATCTATCTTAACATTGGTAAAAATTTTCTTCTGGTTTTTGAGTGAAAATGGTGATTTGTTTTTTGAAAGATTTTGTTCTATGAGAAAGAAAAAACTTCTTTAAAAACTGTTGTTGTATTTCATCCCAAGCATGAATGAATCCTTATCTCAAATTTTATAGCCATGTTTTAGTTTTATCTTTTAATAAAAAGGAAAAGAGCTTTAATCTAATGGTGTTCATGCTACAATTTAAGTTATTATAGGTGTTACAGAGCTCCTCAAACTCCCTTAAATGCAAGTATAGATTTTCTAAATCTAAGTCATGAAAAGAAGGTAAAAATTGAATAATTTCTGACTTAAAATCAAAATAAGATTCATTAAAAGGGAAAACTATAAATAAGGATACACTTATTCTTGTGGAATTTATGTGGTTTCTTAGTGTTCTAACACGGTTATTCTCATTATTCTTATTATGAAGCAATTGGTTATCTTCTTCGATTATATTTTTTGAAAATAATAAAGATACCCTACAAAGTCTACCACTTTATATATATGACCACACTCTCATACACGCGTATGAATAAAATAAAAGAAAGAAGAAGAAACAAAACAAAAGAAACAAAGTTAGATACAACAAAAGTGAAAAGAGAAAATAAAATAAATACTATAATTTGTACAAGAATTTACTTCCCTGGCAATGACGCTAAAAACTTGACAGGACCAAAAGATTGATGCATTCTTCTAAGTGCAAGAGTATCGAAGTAATAAATAAATCAGTAAGACCAAGGTTGAACTATAGGGAGGTTAACTATAATAATAATAAGAAGAAGAAAACGAAGAAGAAGAAAAGTTTAAGAGAACTTTGAGATATAAGATTAATATAAGGATTTAAACAAGAATGAAATAATTGTCAAGGTTAGAGGATCTACTAATGGTATTTCAAACTAGTATAAAATATTTTTATTAGTCAACTAAAAACCACACACAAAGAAGGTTATAATCAGATTATAAATTATTAACTTGATTGCATTAATTATCTTATTCAAATAATGCTAATATTTGTAAATGTTGTCAAGTATTCATGATTATAACTTATGTTAACAACAAATCAAGTTCCTTTCATAGCACAGGTGTCGGTTATATCATACGATTGGGTTATGAAAGTGCCAAGTATTTATTATATATAGTGTATACTACATATATCTAGATTAATTATTTAACAAACAAAGTAGTAAAAGTGAATAAGGTAACAAATATAAAACATGTTAGTATCAAACATTAAAGTCCATGTTGAGTTTATACTACACTTATTCTTACACCATTAGTATAAACTTTTCACCTTGATATAATAAACTTAATTAAATATAATTAAAGAGGAAAACATAAATAAATAAGATTAGAACATAGATAAGATATAAGTTAACTAAATAAAGAAAAGGAAATGAAAGGCATAAACAAGATATTAATGAAA